ATCAAGGTCTTAGAAGTGAATATCACATTTAATTTAGCTAGCCCCATAGATTTAGACCTCATAATCATACAACACTATAAAATATCAAATACAACAAAATCGCTTACAGATATGGTCGGTGGATGTTTCTATATAATATTACGGTTACAAATAAAAATACAAAATGTTTCAAAAGGGATAAGCAAATCCACTAAAAAATGCTTTAATGTCATAGTAGTATGTCTGACCTATTTTTTTTTTACATATATCGTTACCTTAGTGCAATAACGTAGCATGTCCTTCTAAAGCTGCGGCAGTTAATCAGTTATTGCACTAAGGTGACAGTATGTATAATGTCAACAACAAGTAGAAATTCATTAGTATCGTAATGTAGAAGGAAAAACTCGTAATTTACAATTGTAAACAAACCGACTAGACTTATTAACAGAGAAATATGTTTGTATTTGTGTATTCTTTTGTTGTAATATTTATCACAACGGGAACGGTGTATACGTCTGTCACTTTGATAAAGGACGACTTCATATAGAAACACTCGTTTCCTCAAATATAGGTACAAAATGTATGTTTCCAAACCCAGGGAAATGAATATCTGTCACTTTTTATACCAACCAGGAAGTACTTGCCAACTCCACGTAAGCTGTTTTTTATTATAAAGTACAAAAAGTAGTTCCGCTTAGCATTATACAATGAATGGCATATATTTGTCAGCACAAGCACACTAACAGTAACAACCTCAATCTGATTGCCTTTGTTATGTTTTCATTGAAAGTTTACATATTTAAATCATTTGGTGAAAGATATTGACTATTCTATTATAATTTACTGACTAACGCCGGTGCTAGCTAATGGGACTGAAGCATGAACTCTTCAGTCTGCGTTATCACACCAGCAATAGCAAGTGTTACGTTTTGTGTGACTGTTGTAAAATGATGTTCTGTACTAACTCACTATTGTTATTTTTGCTATACTTTTCTCATTATTAATTTTTTTAAATGATTATTAGGCTTAATTGCAAGTAAATCATGACTGCCATTTTCACCTCTCTATAAGCAGATCTATCGAGGGATCTTCCGTTTTTCTTTTACACATGAACATTCTTTAACTTGAACAAATAATTAAAGTGCTCAAATATCAGACATTCAATTATCTGTTATTTTCAATTACGTTCAACTACAGTGACTGTAAAAAAATTATATATATATTAATTATTGTTATTGTTACAAGGAAATGTCTTTAAAATCAGAAAAAAATCAAGTCTAGTGACGTTGAATTAATAAGGAGCTAAGAGAATATTTCAAGTTTATTATTATCTCCCTTGTTGATATTTCCCTTCGAAAATTGCCATTATTTTATTTTATTTACAGTATAATAACCCAAAAATAACAGTTTGGACACCTTGTGAAATCAAGTGTCATGCCTAAGAGCATTCAAGCAGATAATAATAAGAAATATAAGATCAAAGTAGGTGTTGACTTTAGGTGGTCTCAATAGTGGGGTCAAATAAAGAATAAAACAAACAATTGGGTCTTAAAAGTGGATAAGCGGCTTGGTCTTCATTCTGGATCATGTTACCATTGACATAAAGAACTCTACTGTATAAGAATTGGTCTAAGCGTGCAAACATGATTTTCTGGTCAGATTTGTTTTCAGCGAAATTGAGCCTTTCTTTCATTTGGCTGTTACTAGACCCTAGCTTAATACTGATTAAAACTTTGCACTTGAACACTTGTGTTCACAGCTGTTATCGTATTGTGCATGACCATTGAAGTACACCCGTCATTACTTCACGCAAAGTCAATGACTTTTACCATCACATATAGTTTACCATCACATATAGATATTTATCAAATGCACTTCAATAACAAATAGTCAAATACAAATAACGACATTTTCAAAAATAGAATGTAGTTAGACACTGTAGCGTGGATGATGAAATCGATTTGAATGTCGTCCCAAAGCATATTATTTTCTTGAAAATAAAACTAAAAAGAGAACAATTTGTCTGTATTAGGTCTTAATACTTATAAGACAAAATTCGTTTCATTAAAAATAAATTATCACAAAGGTTAACTAATTGCTGTACTTATAATACAAGTCTGATTAAATTTCTCAATTGTTATCGTTGAAACAACAGACATCTTTGACAGTTTTATCACTTCATTTACATTCAAGGAAACCAGAAACTATATGGGTCATAAATTTGGTTTATTACACTTTATATAACAGGAATTTAATAATTACATGAAATATGAACTGTGTCGAGCAGATGAACTAACAGAACTGATTTTCTGACACAATGTTTGTTAACAGTATCTCAAGTATCGGCTACGGAATTATAAAATAAAACCGTATGAAACCGCGGATACACATATTTAAGACTTATTTTCCTTGTAACTTTAAAACAATCATTGTTATCATTATTGTAAACATTTACAAATTCTTACATGAAACTCTATCATAATTGTACACATATGCTCATTAACTAATTTGCAATTGCAACTAAGTAAAAAGAAATCATCAAGAATATGAATGCTTAGATATTAGATATGCGCCGTCTGCAAATACTTTTGGATCCCTATCAATAGTGTTCAAAGTATTACTTTGGATTCTTCCATGTGATGAAGCTATCTTGCAGTTAGCTTACGGAAAGTCGGGTATCGAGTCGGGTTCAGGCTCGTGCCTAAAATGAATTACTGAGGTCTTCATCTACCAGTAAAGCCAGGTGGCTGTAATATAAACTTAACTGTGGTTGTGAGGCGTAAACACCAATAAAGAAAATACTTCTTTTATAGAAAAATGGAATGATTTGCTTAAACGAAATGGCTAAGGGTGTATATATTTACAGCGTCATATTCACTTGTAAACATATAACAGGTTTTTGTCATTTAAAAGGTTATTTAACACAGGTCTAGTAAATGGTCAGATGCCATGTCTTATATAGTTTGCATTTACGTTAAATTTACTCGTAAAGTTCACGCACATGTAAATCGAATCTGAAATTTCAAGTACGCTTTTCATCATTTTCTTTAGCTTCTGTTATTTAATTAATTATGTAAATAAACTATGATCGAGTGATGGTATACATATATGATTTCATTCATATCCGTACACAGGAAATATAAGACCAACATAGATATACACCAAAAACATTATCTTTCTTGTGGCAGCAGAAGAGCAATAACATGTTCCAATACCACATAAATTGTCTGGGTTCGTGTGGGATATTGCTATAAAGTTAGAATATTTATTATGCACTGATAATAAAAAAGTAATGAATATGACAATATCGGTTAGATTGTCATTTCTGTACACGGCATGAAATATTCTGAGAGAAGTTTCCTTCCGCTTCTTTGATCCTAACAAGAACAGCACACTTCAAGGACAGAACTACTCATGACCATGATATACAGTTTGTTATTTATATTCAATGATGGAAAACAGAAATTCCAAAATTATGGTATGATTGTTTTGCTATTGATACTGATTCAAAAAATTAAGGACTTAAAAAGAGACTTTAGGTCCTTTTGATTTAATTGACAGGATGAAAGTAAAATTGCTGATATAAGGATGAAAGTAAAATTGCTGATATAATAAAATTATTATTTCTGCAAATATATGTAACGATTTTAGTTGTATATCCTTTTTAATAGTATCAGTATAATAATTTGTCTTTCTATCACCTTTTATCAGTAGATCATGTCATAGATAGGAGGGACATATAGATAATGCACGACATTTTGTCTGCCGAGGCTAGTGATGTCGGACAAATAAGAATAATGAAACAAGTTAGGGCACTTATCTTATCTAAAAGGATAAACACGATGTGATTTGCCGAGTTGAAAATACGTGTCGTTTGTCTGACATTATGAACTTCTGGTGTATATTTGTTTTTCCTTTTATCTCAATTTTCTCATATAAGCGTTATCTTTTAAAAGACAGCTATTCGTCTGTTACATAAAATAGACTATTGCAAATTAAGATTCATTGACATTATTCTCTTAGATAGTAGTTCTCTTTAAATAATATATAAGCTTCCTCTTTACGGTGATTATACATCATAATTGATTAACCTTTGCTGCATGATTTAATAGTCTGCTTGTTCCATTTTGTTAAAAGTTTCCATTGCAATAACTTCCGTTGTCAAAGAAAATTTCTTCAAAATAAACTATGTTACAAGATATTTACTGTTACATCTTAGTTGTGTGGTGCACTTGCATTACTAATAAGAATAGCTTAAGAATTGGCTTATGCTAAATTAACACAAAACATATATGTGGTGGTAATAATGCTATCTCCCTCAAAGGGCTCTGATCTTTATCATTATAACAAACCAGAACAACGAAACACTGATAAATCTAGCACGTCGGAAGTTGACTATTTCTTGAAAATTTACGATGCTGACCTATGATATACATTAACACATGGCGTAATTTGGTTATGTCAGCCTATGTTCTAAGCTGTGAATAAATTATGAGATACAAAAACGGAATGCTTAACATTTTCCCTTGTCCTTAATCTTAAATAGTTTCATTTTTGAGGTCTTTTATATATATAATAAATGCAACGTTGAATGAACAAAATAATGGAATCCGAAGGATATCACTATCTTGTTATGATACGGGCAGATGATGGCAGATAATGACAAATTGTACATACTAGTATTTGAAAATAATGCTTACACTGACCTCTTGAAGTGTTCTTATTTCATCGCATGCTAATTTTCTCAAAGAACATTCTTAAACATCATTTGTTTTCTAAAGGAAATTGACATTTTCACACAGAAACTTGCATTTGTGATAAAACTTTCGCCTATTTGATTTACCTATCATATCTTTCTTCATTTACTATTTTTTAATTTGCCATCCCTGTGAAACTTAAAGAATGTTTAATCAACCCAGTAGGTTAAACATTGTTGCAATTTTTGTTGTCCTATACGTTTAGATAGTGATAAACGTTACATTACTAATCACACATAACCTGTGCAAAACAAAGCATTTAGATAGTTCGCATATAATGTTTTATTACTATATACTGATGCTGTTGTTTTTAAACCAAAAATATTTTGTCATTTCCGTTGTTGATGAGGTTTCTGAGGAGAGACAGAATGTCCGTACTATCCGATTACGCTTACCAGTTCACCTCCTCCGACTTTCCTATAGAATAAAAAAGCATAACCAAACTTGGCGCTACCAACAACATAGTATTAATCATTTAAGCGTATAAAGCTATATATCTAATGTAACATTTTAATGAAATTTATAAGCAGTTAAATAATGTTTTTTCCATATTTTTTGGTCAATTCTCCAACTCTTCAATACCATATAATTTTGAATTAAATACATTTTGTTATTTAATACACATAAATATTGTATGTAAAGCGAATGCTGCTATTTTGAGTAGGGTAAAGCCATTAAACAATGATTTCGTGCATGTCCGATTCAATCTTAAATCTAAAGACATTTAATAAATTTCATGCATTCTTTTCCAAAATTCCAGTGATAATTTTGTATGTATGCTAAGTCAGCAGATGTACAGCTTTATACACTTTTGAAACAGCATGAGCTTTAGTCAATTTATGCCACTAATTATTATTGTTATTATTATTATTATAATTATTATTATTATTATTATTATTATTACAAATTTTGAAATCAGCAAACCTAATATCAAAATTGAAATTCATTTTAATTTATTTGTTATTGTTTTTTTTAGTCAAATGACCACACATTTTTAGACTACTACCAGATATAAAGCTTTGTGAGAAAATAGCAGAACTAGTTTCATGCAAGAGGCTTTTGATGAAAGTTATTGAATTGTGAAACATACTACAATGTGTTTTCATTCTAAAATAACTATATGGGTGGTATTATAATATATTGTTCTAAAATGGTGTATATTGTTCTGAAATAGTTAATATTGTTCTGAAATGGTGAATATTGTTCTGAAATCTATAATGGCGTATATTGTTTTGAAATAGCGTATACTGTTCTGAAATGGCGTTATACGATATAGTTCCAAAATGGCGTAAAATGTTCTTTAATTGTGTACTTTTCACAAAAAGGAATCCTGTTTGATGCACACGGAACATCCGCCCACTGATAGTTTGGGTGGTGGAAGACGGCACAATCCTCTCCATGCCCATTGTCTTGTGGCTCAGTTGGCGCCCAATCTGTGAACCGGACGTTGGTACCCGTGCCATACCATCTCCAAACACCTTCTATCGTCTCATCGGTCATTCCAATCCAGTAATCTTTTCCTGTGAAAGTATATGACATGTTGCTAACTTTGTTTTCAATCAATAAGAAGTACGAAATAACGTTTCTAAATAACGTGTATAAAACAAACAATTGATTGATTGGCACTTTGTAATAATTATACAGACTTGTAGAATTCAACAATGTTATGTTTGTTGTTTATTTACACCTGCAGACTGAGCTGAGTATTATATGTTGTTAAACATAAGAATGTGTTTCAATTCCAAATGTGGACAAATCCATTGTACTAATTCCGCAGTTTGAGTGCATAGTTTCTTTCTTTGAAAATGTGTGCACTTATCTGAATGCTTGTAGTTTAAATAATAATTTTTTATCTCCTATATATAATAAACATTGAGTAAATTGAAAGATAAATATGAGAAATTATACCTGCAAGATGCGTATGAATAAATCCTTTCAAAAACAAATCCTCTGTTCTTGTTTCAACGTGAACAAGATTTCCACCATGTTGTCGACAATACGACTGGAAATAATAGTTAATACAAGGGCTGTTCAATGAATACGCGGAAAAGTGTCGCTATTTCCTTATTTTCCAAGTTAGTTGAATAAAACTTATACAGTAATAGAGACAAACATATTTTGAAAATATACAGCAAATATTGCCGTTCTGGCATGAATCATATGTTAACAAACGGTTGTTATGGTAACCACATGTAGCGATTACCGGCCCACTGTTGTTCCTTATTTTACAAATAGTCACTGGTTATTAATGACGTCGCATTTTAACGTTTACCGTGCGATTTTCACCAAACTTTGCATAATTTACGCGCAATATGTTGGCGTTATGCACATGACGTCATGTTAGTGTGTGACGTCATTTAGGCGTTTAGCGGCCATATTGTTCAGTGCGTATGCGTTAAAATTGCATCGGAACAACGATCTTCAATAAAATTTTGTGTTTTGAACGGGTTTTCAAAGAAAGAATCAATGTTAAGATTACAAAAAGCATATGGTGATCAGGCGATGAAGAAAACAGCAGTGTACAATTGGTATGCCCGATTTCTGGGCGGCCAATAAAGCATCCATGACGACAAACGCAGCGGACGTCCCAACGTAACGTTAAATCACGTCGCTGTGATAAAGGAGCTGCTTGACAATGATCGTCGGATAACAATTTGCGAAATACACGATAGATCGGATTGTAGCATTGGCACAGTGCATCGCATTATTCACGATGAACTCAATATAAGACGCTGTGTGTCAGGTGGATTCCTAAAATGTTGACGGACGAACAAAAAGTGGAAAGGGTGCGGTGTTGCAATCAATTTCTCAGACGCTTTCATAGTGTATTTCTTGCGACGGATAGTGACTGTTGATGAGACATGGATTAGCCAATACGAACCTGAAATGAAATCACAGTCTTCTATGTGGAAAACCCCAGGATCGCCTTCACCTAAGAAGTTTAAAGTCAGCCCATCTGCAAGGAAACAGATGTTCATCGTCTTCTTTGACGTCGACGGTGTGATACTGAGCCACGCGGTACCCCTGGGTCAGACTGTGACGGCGAAGTATTATTCTAAGGTGAATAAATTTATTTTATCTATAATAAGATATTCATTATTATGTCAAAACATTACCTAATAATCATTTATATTTGTGTAAGTAATTATGAATATAAATTATAACGACAATTTACTTATGATTGTATTTCTTTATGCTTTCAGATTCTGAGACGCGATTTTATGAGGGCGATAAGAAAGAAGCGGGCCACGAAAATCGCCGACACGATATTTCATCACGACAACGCACCGTCTCATCGTGCGGCCGAAACACAGTACACAATCAGGAAACTCGGCTTCGAAGTTCTCGAGCACCCGGCCTACAGCCCTGACCTCGCACCATGCGATTTCTTTCTTTTCTTCCCGACACTGAAGAACGTCCTGCGGGGAGAACACTTTGATGATGTGGACGAGTTGTCCTACGCGGTGCAACGTGCAATTTCAGAGGTAAATAATGGCTCCTACTTTAATAGTTTCATGCCATGGATCAACGATTGTAAAAAGTGTGTTTCCTTTCACGAAGAGTATTTCGAGAAGGACTAGGTGCGTGTTTTGGGTGACTCTCATACATGCGTTGAGCGTGACGTCGTTACGACGTTGGGCCGGTTTCACTGCGATTACCTTAGAAATACTTGAAATTATACTATTAATTTTTATCCGATTTTATTGAAATTGTGTGTACATGTTTATTATATGTTTATTTACAAAATGTAAAGAGAACGTCAATTTCCCATGAATATCAAAAATATGGCAGCACTTTTTCCGGGTCTTTATTGAACAGCCCTCGTACTTTTGTTTTCTTTTACTTCTGTATAGAAGAATAAATTTAAATTTAAGATTTACTTGAGTTACTATTTGCTGATATCTTTGATAATATCAAGATCATGGCTGTATGGACATCATTGCTGACATACTACTTTTTTCATATTCATGAATTCAATAATAAACGACATATTAATATATTACCCCGAATTATAATATCGGTTCGATGAATAATTATTTTATTGTAATCGAATTGAGCGAAATATTAAATAAGACAACAGGCAAAGCGTTTATGGATCATCATTAATGCATACTTGTATCTTTGCATTTAAATGTCTCAAAGAGCATGTTTAATACATCCCGTTTTATACAACATTTGTAATCATGGCCTAGTAGAATTGAATTTTATATGTAAACTACATGACTCTCTAAGGATTATATACCAATGTGTTCTTGGCATAGGTTAAACGGTCGAAATTTTAAGTTTCCTAAAGCAAGCTTTTTATACGAGATTTAGAAACAACTTTACCTCAGCTTCTGTGAAATGCATTGCATGACTACCAATTAAGTAGCAGGATCCTTCAAACGCGAACCAACCATCAGGACAATCAGTGCAATAGGTTAAACCTTGGAATTTCAAAGAAAAAACAAAAAACAATTGTGTCTGTAACTACAATTGCTACTTATGTAAATGCAATTCATACCACCAATCATGTCCTCGATAGATGGAACGGGGAATGACATTTGTATCACCATACATAATACAAAGTTACCTGTGGTGAAAAGAAAGTATTCATTAAATTTATTTTAAAGAAGATAACAATTCGCTTTGATTGTGTAAATGTACTCAAAACAAAACAAACAAAAGCATTGCAGTTACCAAAGGGGTTTTACCATGAAAGGATGCAGTAAAGAGTTGCGAAACTTGAGCTTAACTGTGACCCTTTATATATTTAGTTTCAGTTTCTGCTTTGCAAGTATTACATGTAAACTTCAAGAAATTGTTTATGTCAAAATTGGACACAATTTTTATCAGAATTAATTAAAATTAAATTAATTTGATTTAAATTCCTTTTGAACCTTTAGAAGCCTTAATGTACAATTAATTTTCAAGTTTATAACAGTTTTGATTTCAGTTGATGTGATAAGAAAATGTAAATTTAATAACAGCACAAAGCTTCACATGCAGTGTAAAGATGACTTACTCAAAATGCAATACAGCGTTTTGAAACTGAGACGGACTATGATATTAAACCTAATGATAGTCCTCTGTCTAATAGTATATTTAGTTAAATTAAGTTATTGAACTGGATCAAGTTGGTCACTCTTTTGAAAAAAAATAATTTTAGTATTTAGAACGAATATTATATATAATCTTCCCCATATTGTCTGTAAAATTGGCATACATTTAATAGTTTGATGCGTTTCTATCTTTAAAATGTATAAAACTATATATGAGCTGCAAAAACTATTGCTTGAATTTAAACAAGATATGTCTTTTCAAAATGACTGTAGGAAAAAAATGTGGTAGTTTATTTTTCTTAAATGCAAATGGCCCATGTTTAACGGGTAAAGCTTAAAACACTTACTTATAGAAGTAACGTAATGTATTGTTCCTGAACATTTTATTTTCTTTGCTACAATATCCATGTGTTTGGAATAACAAAGTAATTCTATGTTACAACTCTTTTGAATATTGAGTATTGACACAATATAATTTTACTGTAAATAAATTATATAATTTATACCCTTGATTTTTGACGTTCAAATTTAAAATACAATGCAAAGTTAAAAACATTTTGACAAATAAAAGTGGTGTTTAAAAATAAAACAGATTTTTTTAATTTAAGAAATAATATATAAATATTTCAAACCTATCAGTTGAAATATGATGCACGCAAGACGATTCATTTTAACGAAATGTGGTCTGCAGGGTTTGGTACAACGATAGTGATAAAGGACAACATTTTTCGCTTACTACAGCAAAAATTGGCATTTGATAAGGAAACCATTTTAAAGCTTCTAACCAAGACATGATGGTTTGTGATGTAAAACAGTATAAACTTTATTTCAAAGATAATTATCATAAACGTATTGTATAAATGCAATTTGTATAAATGCATGATTATTGCGCAGTGGCCATATGATGATTCTATTTCTAGGTATTGCCGCTTTTAGTTTTTAGACAAATGTACACAAAGTGACTCATTGCAGCGGAACAACATGATGACAAAATAAGAGTACATGTATAATACTAATCCTTTGTCTGCAACCCATGCGATAAGTGCATGCCAAGATCAGTCAGAATATTGATGACGTCAGAGCTTTGTTTGAACTGTTAGCTATTCAATCAAAACTTCTTTTCAATAATCCCTTAAATAATGAATGGTTTTGTCGGGAATAAAAGCAAGACAAATTCGTATGAAAAGTCTGCATAAGTAATTTAGCGTGATACTGATTTACATTAATATGTGTAGAAGAACGAAAGGTATATATGTAAATATATGAATACGCCAACTTATGGTGTGGGTTAGCAGCTTTAAAAGTAAAGGAAACGTTTCACGACTGACGGATAAGTTGCACTGATAACTTGACATACAATCTGCAGATAACTGACCGGGAGATCTTTAGATAACATTTTTGAAATAAGATAACTTGTTCGCTGGCTGAATTTCTAAAAATTACCGGGGACATGAGGAGAGTGTGCGGGGTTGGCATTTCAATCAATTATTTTTGATTAGCTAACAAGATACTTGCTTGCCTTGTGTTTCTTTTGTCATAGATGTTTCTGAAGGAGGCTATCAAAACTGTTGATAAATGGTAATGAAAGTTCATTTGCCGTACGCCTTATACTTATTCGCCTTATTAATGATTCCGTTTCGAATAAATAAACGCTATAACTGAATTCACAAGAATCTAATGAAAATTTAGCATGATATTTTTCTTGTTTTATACCAACCTCCGACAAATTTTGGAGAAGATCCATTTTTGTATCAAGCACTTTGATGTATTATAAAATTGCAACGGTTGTTGCGTTCTTTGAGCTGTGACGCCTGTTATTTAAGGCAGCCTTAGTTGGTACTGGATACCATTAAATCAAAATATCTTTCAATTAAATAAATGAAACATCAAATTTTGTGCAAGTAAATTTAATGACGAACACACGAAATTGATCAGAATTATAAACAAATTCCGGGAATTCTAGTTCATCCATCGTATTCAAGTCTCAGCACCTCAAAATAAGTATGTCTAGTTTGTTTTTCTCTTGTTTTTTTTGTTGTTGTTGTTTTTTTTTCTTCTTTTTTTTAATAAAGCTTTTTTTAATAGAGCTTACAAAACAATTATATTTATATTGTAACTATAAACAATCAAGAAATCAACTTTAACATTGACATATTTACTATTTTATCTCCAAAGTTCTATTCCGTTACAAAAATAGGATGATATAATTATGTAATTTCTTATCTTGGTCTTTGCTTTATCATGTCAGTACATTAATTTCTGTTACAAAGGAGCATGCCTCAGTCACCCTCAGCTTTATCAGACACCACATGAATACATATTGAAATAAAAATGAAAAGAATGGTATTTTTGTACCTCTTACTAGTTTGAAAATGTTTAACTAATATTTCTACTTACTTACTGGCGTTCGCTCTACACGATCACGCCAGTATCCGCGATGAAGGTTGTGGTCCGCCGCAGGTCCTCAACGTCTCCGTACAGCTTCTGCTGGAGTGTTGCACCTCGGGGCCACGTTGCTCCTCGCTCCTGGTCGTGTCTTTTGCATCTTTGGAGGATATGCTCTGTAGTCTGATCCTCTTCTCCACAGGGACATATGGGGGACGGCACCAGTTTGTACTTCCTGCACATGTGTGCATTCAGTCTGTTGTGTCCCGAGCGAAGCCTGACCATCACCACTTGTTCTGGTCGGTTTAGCATGTGGTAGGCATCCGCTTCCTGTCTTGTCTTGGTGAGAGCCTTGATGATGGTGGCTTTCTCCTTGTATATCACCTGGTTATCTGGTTGCTCCAACTGGGCTCCTAACCTAGCCAGCTTGTCGGCCTCCTCATTTCCGGGCACTCCACAGTGAGATGGTATCCACTGAAGTGCAACATTACAGGACGACCCAAGCTTGTTCACGGCTTGCGCTAGTTCAGGGACATTGTTGTTTTGTAGGGCCTCCAGAACTGATCTTGCATCTGTGAGGAAGACTACAGAAGTGATCTCTTCTGGCGAGTTTTCTATCAAAAAGACTGCCTTCATGAGTGCCTCAGTCTCTGCTCTGTAATTGCTGCAGTGCTTCCCAGTGGCGATGTAATGGGCTGTTTTCTGGCCTGACGGGTATGTTATGTGAATACCACCGCCTCCATCCTTAACGGCTCTAGTGGCTGACCCATCTGTGTATACATGGGTCCATGTGTCCGAAGGATAGTCTGCGTAGATAGCCGCAAGTGTCAGACTTCTACGGATGGTCTCATTTTCCTGTTTGCCCATGTCTAGTCCAGGAATAGCAAGTGCCACTTTGACTGCAGACAGGTCATTTGCTGTAGGGTTGGTGATGTCTGCTCGGCCCAAGGGAATTGTCTGAGTGTTTAGTTCAGCTGCATGCTCTCTACTCAGCTTCTTTGCTTGATGTACAAAGCTGCAGCGCTTGAGGCGGTTCTTGGTGAATCCCTCAAGTCTGCTGTTCATGGGGTGGTCTGGGAGGGACTGGTACTTGCTTGCCTGGAGAAGGACCTTGGTTTGTCTTCTTTCATGAAGTGTTTGAATTCCGGTCAGTTTCTCCATGAAGGCGATTGGTGTAGACTTGGTGGCCCCTGTGATGATACGAAGTGCCTGGTTCTGAACTTTATCCAGGGCTTGCTGGTTTGTCTTGGCTGTTGTGGACCATGTGGCTGAGCTGTACTCCATGGTGGGTCTTACTGTGCCCTGATATACAGTCTTCAGTATTTGCTCATTTGCACCCCAGGTTGTCCCAGCAAGTTTTCGCATCATCCCAAGTTTCCTTCGTGCCGTCCTTCTACACGGCTGATGTGTGGTTTCCAAGTCTGCCGCTTGTCAAAGGTGACCCCAAGGTATGTGGCTTCGTCTTCCTCCTTCAGTGGAGTTCCAGCTAAATTGACCTTCCCAGCTCTCTGCTTTGTTGACAAGGTGAACAGTGTGGTGGACGACTTCTCTTTGTTGATCGTGACACACCAGTCTTCGGCCCATGCTGCGAGTTTGTCCATAGCTCTTTGCATTCTGTATGTGGCCGTAGAGGCGTGTTCTTCTTTGCACCATAGCACCAGGTCGTCAGCATAAAGAGCAGCATGAACTCCCTTAGGCAGTTCAGACACCAGGTCGTTGATGAAGACCAGAAAGAGTGTCGGGGATAGGACGTCACCCTGTGGGACGCCATGGCGTAGCAGGACCTTCCTACTGTTGGATTGGTTCAGGCTGACTCTGGCTCTTCTATTAAACAGGTAAGAGTTGATCCATTTCAGCATGGCCCCTCCAACTCCATTCCTCATGAGCTTTACTTGTAGCCCTTCTGTCCAGACTTTGTCGAACGCTCTTTATAGGTCAATCCATGCTGTTAGGACCACCTTTTGCTCTTGGAATGCGTCTTCGACTTCCTGCGCTAGGTATGTAGTCTGGTCTTCTGTGGAACGGAATTGCCGGAATCCAGCCTGTTCAGATGCCAGCAGGTCATTGGTCTCCAGGTACCACTTCAGGCGTGCGTTCACAATCCTCTCCATGGTCTTAACAACACAGATGGTGAGGCTGATTGAACGGTAGCTGGCTGCCTTTTTTGGGTCCTTCCCTTCCTTCAGTATAGGGATCATCGTTGCCTCTCTCCAAATCTGTGGTAGCTGCCCTTGTTTCCAGCTGTAGTTGTATATGTCCAGGAGTTTGCACATTGCTGTATTGCCCAGGTGTGTCAGCATCTCATTTGTGATTGCGTCAGGACCGGGAGATTTTTTGGTCTTTAGTTGCCTGAAAGCTGCCTGAACCTCATGAAGCGTCAGGCGCGAGTCCATGCACTCTGACGTAACCTTAGGTGTTTTCCTGTCCCTTTGTTCTCTTCTTGCTTCCCTCAGTCGTTCACTGTTGATGGGGATGTCGCTGACATCTTTGTAGTTTTGGGCAAAGACGTTTGCTGCTTGTTTGCCCACCAACAGCTCTCCCTCCTCTTCCAAGGTAACTGAGCCTCTCGCTTTGTCTTGGTCGTCGTTCAGCTGTTTTGTCAACCTCCACAACTTTCGGCCATCTCTCTCGAAGTTCAGTGAAGCTGTCTTGTGTCTCCAGCTCTTTCTTTGGGCCTCTAGCTTGTGCCTTAGGAATTTGGCCTTGGCATGCTGTAAGTTGTGGTTTGCCTCCTGTGAGGGATTGTTTTCGGCTTCAACTCTGGCTTCGGACACCTTGGTTTGCAGCTCCTCTAACTGCTCACTCCAGTAGGGCTTGTAGTCTTTCCTCGCACCTCTAGGGATGGACTGCTGTGCTGACTTGAGGATGCATTGGTTGAAGTCCCTGACTACGTTGTTAATGTCTCTGCCTTCAACTCTGATGTCTTTGCAGAGTTCATCACTCACAGACTGGAAAAGGGGCCAATCAGCCTTTTTGTAGTTCCATCTGGGTAGGCTAGATGACATAGGGACAGAGCGGTCCAGTATGATGAGGACTGGACGGTGATCACTGCCTCCAAGTTGATCAGTGACTTTCCTCTGGACATGTCCGTGTATGTCGTCAGTACAGAAGGCAAGGTCAGGCGTTGATGTCGAGTGCCATCTTCTCGTGTAAAAAGTTGGGGGATCCTCCGGCTGATTGATGAGGTTCAGCCTGTTGTCATCCTGCCAGGTGTCCACTTCCTCTCCTCGGTTGTCCATGTGGTCATATCCCCAGCTTTGTGAGTGACTGTTGAAGTCTCCAACAACCATGAGGTTTGTTGCTTCCATTGGGATACTGTCTAGGGAAAGAGCTTTGTCATTTGGAGAGTACATA